CTTTCACTTCTCTTCTTTTCTCAGCTATTTGTAAGGTGTCCTCAGATGACCATTTTGCCTTTTCCATTTCCTTTGCTTGAGGATGGTTTTGATCACCACCTCCTGTACAATGTTACAAAGCTCTGTCATAGTTCTTCTGGCACTCTATCAGATCTAATCCCTTGATTAGATTCAAGATCCCTTGAATCTATTTGTCACTTCCACTGTATAATCACAAGGGATTTAAGTCATACCTGAATGGTCTAGTGGTTTTCCCTACTTTTCTTCAATTTAAGTCTGAATTTGACAATAAGGAGTTCATGATCGAGCCAGTCAGCTCCCAGTCCTGTTTTTGCTGACTATAGAGCTTCTCCACCTGCAGCTGCAAAGAATATAATTAATGTGATTTCAGTGTTGACCATCTGGTGACATCCATGTGTAGAGTCGTCTCTTGTTATTGTTGGAGGAGGGGGTTTGCTATGAGCGGTGTGTTCTCTGTCAGCCTTGGCCCTGCTTTGTTTTATACTCCATGGCCCAACTTGCCTGTTAGATAGCAAAGTCTATCCTTGATATTTCTCTGTCCTTTCTATTCTTTCTGTTTATTTTGCTGGTTCTTCTTCCTCCTCCTCCCTAGGATTTCTAGGCTTCAATGTTTCGTCTGCACTTCAAGGCCACAGGCTACTCTAATTTATTAAACAACAGAATCTTAGGAAATGCCAAATGTAAAATAATAATGAATTGCTTCTCACTTATCACCCTGACTTATGTAAAAACCACTGTTGGCTGTTCTCCTACAGCTGACATTTTTTTTCTCAGTTGACAGGACCTCCCTACCTACTTCTACCCATAAAGACTGGAGTCTGCCAGAGTTCTCTTCCTTCCCTACAGACTGTAAAACTAGCTCATCCATTCCCATGATGTCAACAACCATGATTATTTGAAACCTTTATCTCTAGCTAAGGATACTTCCTGAGCTTCAGATTATATCTCCAACTGGGGGGGGGGGGGAATCTACATAGATGGTATTTCACAACTATATCCAAATCTAGTTTCTTCATCTTTCCCTCAAAACTTGTCTTCCCTTTTATCTTCCCTTTCTAACCACTAATCCCAATAAGAAATCTGGGAGTCATTCTAAAGCCTTCCCTCTCCTTCAGATGATTCTAACTTCTTAACACTTGTAGTATCTGACCCTTTTCACTGTCCTCATTAGGTTTCTACCTTATCTCATTTCTCACCTGAATAACTGGTATACAGAAGGATCTCAAAAATATTTGTTGAATAAAAATAAAATAAACATACTTGTCCCATTAACAGCATGGACCATGTCTTACTCATTTTGGAGACTCAGAAATGAGTTGACATGCCTCCCCAGCAAATCTACTGAGTGAATCATTCCAGAGTTTCCATTCCTTGAATCAAACTCTTAAGAAGCAAGAACCAGGAATCTATTTTTAACAAGCTCTCTCCTATATAACTGACTCCATATAACCCTATATAACCTAATCCTATATAACACTATCCAGCAACAGTCTTTAAGAACTAATGAATTAGTAGTAAATCCATTAGCATGTTGAAAAGGAGCAAACTCAGAGGCAGAAATCGAATTAAAACAACTTTCTGAAAACAGTATGTTGACTCCTTAATAAACTAGGAATAAAACTACCATACGACCAAGCAATTACCACTTCTAGGCATATACCCTGAGGAAACCAACACCAAAAAAACCCACATGTATTTCAATGTTCATTGTAGCACTATTTACAATAGCTAGGACACAAGAGATGTCCAACAACAGATGAATGAACAAAGAAGCTGTGGTACATATATACAATGGAATACTTCTCAGCCATAAAAAGGAATGCATTTGAGTCAGTTCTAATGAGGTGGAAGAACCTATTATACAGAGTGAAGTAAGTCAGAAGCAGAAAAACAAATATCATATATTAACGCATATATATGGAATCTATAAAGATGGTACTGATGAAACTATTTGCAGGGCAATAATGGAGACACAGACTTATAGAGAACAGACTTATGGACAAGAGCAGGGGAGAGGAAGGAGAGGGTGAGATGAATAGAGAGTAGCATGGAAGCATATACACTAACATATGTAAACAGACAGCCAATGGGAATTTGCTGTGTGACTAAGGGAACTCAAACTGGGGCTCTGTAATAACCGAGAGGGGTGGGATAGGAAGGGAAGGAGGTTCAAGAGGGAGGGAACATATATACACCTATGGTTAATTCATCTTGCTGTATATGACAGAAATCAAACCAATATTCTAAAGCAATCACTAAATCAACTAAAAATAAATATAATTATTTAAAAAATGAAGGAAGGAAATAATCTTAAAAAAAAATAAACTTTCCACCCATCTCTCCATAGACCTAGGATAAACAGGCCTCCCACAGACATAAATATAATTAATCCTTAAATCATCTCCTACTATAACTATTCTTTGTCTAATCCAGCACCCTTACTCAGTTAACATACTTCAAGAGCTCACTTCCATCTTGTAACCCCACAAACTATTCTCTAGATAGTAGTCAGAATGATTTTCTAAAAGGCAAATCAAAGCATGCCACTGTCCCCTAGCCTCATTCCACCTCCCAGGGATAATTTCTTCTCACATGGTAAGAACAAAAACCAAAATCTTACTCTAGTTTAAAAGCCTTAAATAATCTGGCCCTTGCTTATCCCTCTGGCCTCATCTCAAACACTCTCCTGGTTTTACTGTCTACATTGCAACCATGCAGGCCCTTCTGTTCCTAAAATATATCAAACTTTTAACAACCTCAGAATTTCTGCATTTGCAATTTCTGTCAAGAATGGTCTTCTTCATGGCTACTACCCCGCTGCCGTGTTCCTATTCAGTCTCAGCTTAAAATGTCACCTCTCAGAGAAGCCCTATTATTGTCACCCTGCTTATTTAACTTATATGCAGAGTACATCATGCAAAATGCGGGGCTGGATGAAGCACAAGCTGGAGTCAAGATTGCCAGGAGAAATATCAATAACCTCAGATATGCAGATGAAACCACCCTTACGGCAGAAAGCAAAGAAGAACTAGAGAGCCTCTTAATGAAAATGAAAGAGGAGAGTGAAAAAGTTGGCTTAAAACTCAACATTCAGAAAATTAAGATCATGGCATCTGGTTCCATCACTTCCTGGCAAACAGATGGGGAAACAATGGGAACAGTGAGAAACCTTATTTTTTGGGCTCCAAAATCACTGTAGATGGTGACTGCAACCATGAAATTAAAAGATGCTTGCTTTTTGGAAGAAAAGCTATGACCAACCCAGAGTGCATATTAAAAAACAGAGACATTACTTTACCCACAAAGGTTCGTCTAGTCAAAGCTATGGTTTTTCCAATAGTCATGTGTGGATATGAGAGCTGGACTATAAAGAAAGCTGAGAACCGAAGAATTGATGCTTTGAACTGTGGTGTTGCAGAAGACTCTTGAGAGTCCTTTGTACAGCAAGGAGATCCAACCTGTCAATCCTAAAGGAAATCAGTCCTAAATATTCATTTGAAGGACTGATGCTGAAACTCCAGTACTTTGTCTACCTGATGCAAAGAAGTGACTCACTGGAAAAGACCCTGATGCTGACCCCTCCCACCATGAAGGTGGGAGGAGAAGGGGACAACAGAGGATGAGATGGTTGGATGGCATCACCGACGCAATGAACATGAGTTTGAGTGGGCTCTGGGAGTTGGTGATGGACAGGGAAGCCTGGTGTGCTACAGTCCATGGGGTCACATGGGGTCACAAAGAGTCAGACACAACTGACTGACTGGACTGAACTGAACAGAGAAGCCCCCAATCACTAAGTCAAAAGCAGTCTTACAGTCGGACACCATAGCACTCTATTTTAATTCCTTACAAGGCATTTATTACAAGTTGATATTCTCCCTATTTGTTCTCTATTTCCTGCCCACAGGAATGTAGTAAGATCTATGACAGCAGTGAACCTGCCTTGAGAGTAGATTGATTCATTACTTTAGACCCAAGGCTTAGAACAGTGCCTAGCATACAGGAGGTACTCACATATACATCTGTAATCAATATACTCTTATTTGGGGTTCAAAAACATACAAACTTCTTTTATTTTATCAAAGATGACAAAATTTCATTTTTAATAAATATATCCACTGAATACACCCAATCTGTCTATATTAATGGGAAGATAAAATTCAAACAAAAAAATTTTTTTAGATATATCAGGGAATAACAAACAATAATCAATGTGTCTAAAAATTATATTCACATCAAAATTTTTTCAGCCACCAGTTTAAAAAAAATTAAAGTTGTTACAAATTTTACCAGCACTATGAGGGGAAAAACCAAATGTCTATCAAGCAGTAAACAGATAAACAAATTGTGGCATATCCACACAAAGAATACTATTAAAACTAAGCAATAAAAAGGAATGAATTCTTATTGACATATATAACAATATGGCTGAATCTTAAATCATGCTCAGTGAAAGAAGCCAGGCAAATAAGTACATACTATATGATTCCATTTATATAATACAAAGTTCTAAAACAGTAACAGCAGATCAGTGGTTATCTGAGGCAAGGGGAAATAAGATGGCTAGATCACAGAGGGGAACTAGAAAACTTATGGGAATGATGGACATATTCATTATCTTCATTGTGGTAATTGTTTGATTAGTGTAAACAAAACTTATCAAAGATACACTTCAAATATGTGCAATTTATTGGATGTCAATTATACCTTTATTAAACATTAAAAAAATTTTTTCTTAAATCAGATTAGGTCACTCCCTAAGCCCTTCAATGGCTCTTCATCCTCCAAAAACAAAAAATAGAAAATCTGTCACAAGCTTTACCAGCATTGGTGAATTAACATTTAAATTAGAATGAATGGCATATTAATGTCATAAAGCCTATTTCCAATAGCTAATAAAAACCAAACACATACTTCAATAGATTTTATTTAAATTCAACAAAAATTGAATAGTAAATTCACAAAAACTAATTTTAAGTTTCTACATTGAAAAGCTAAAAATATGGTAAACTCTCACAATTACCTGTAGAAGATGGTGATTTTTCTGGGTGTTTTGCATTTAAAAGTTTTCTGCTAATAAATATGTAACCACAGGGACATGATTTACATGCAACAGGAACCTACAGACAAAAAAAAAAAAAGCACAATTTATTATTACTACTTTTCTGTTGTTAAACTTCTTAGTGTTTATTAAGCTTCTTGAGCTAAATGATAAAGATACCTGAAGTAGGAATCATGGGTTTATTTAAACCCCACCTCCTTACAATAAATGATGAGATGGGTATTGGGTCCTCTACATCTTCACATTCTACTAATGCATTACAACACGAAGCAAACAAACGATAAAAGTGTGCTGATTTAAGTGAACAACAGAATACCACAACAGGATCGATCAGAGCCAAGGAAAATATACTGGAAAAAAGGTATCATTTCCTAAAATATTAGTTTGACAGCATTTGATAATAGAATAAATTGGGGGGGGGCATGGTTGGGAAGTCATTAAAGTAATCCCAGCATAACATTTTGAGGGCCCCACTGGAATAAGGAGATTAGAAATAGAGAAAAGGTAGATCTGTAAGACATTTCAGAGGGTAAAGAAATGAAAACAACCCAGGTTCCAACATGAGAGGGTAAGATGCCAATTACTACTGACAGGAAAACAAAATAGTTTACAACAACCAGTTTGAGGGGCAAAAGTACAATATAAACAACAGAGAATGTAGGACAAAGCAGGAGTTGAGATCTAGGATTTTATAATCTCAGGTCCAGGAAGGAAGTTTGATAAAACACTTAAATTCTCCAGGCTTCTGTTTCTAAATCTATAAAATATTTTTACAAGAGGCTCCTTTCTCCATTTCATATAAATGTTTTTTTAAAGTCAAATATTACTGAAAAAAGTTTTAGATTTTCCTCTACAATTGTTTCACCAATATTAACCTTAATGTTCCTTGGACTGGGGACACATTCATTAAGAACAAGAAATTAATCTCAACAAAAAGTACTCACAAAATAGTAATCACAATTCCGGTTTGTAAGATAAATTCCATTTGCTGTAAAAGTTTAATTATGATTATAAAGCTTTCATCCATTTATGTACAGAATGCCTCATATTCTAGAATATAAATATTTGATCTAAATAAGCTAAATCATAATTTGGGGAGAATTCCTTTTCTTTGCAGTAAAAACACTAAAGAAAGAACTCTGTTGTGTATTCATGAAAAATAACAATGAATCCTACAAAAATAATCAAAATAATCAAAAATAAACTCTAGTATGTCTAACAGGTCCCTTTATCAAGAATATAATGAGATTCTTTCAAAAAATGGCAGAAAATGCAATGTTACATTTCTTATTAGTGAAAAATATGCCTAAAATAGATAAGTTTTGTCATTTTAAAATTTCACATCTTCATAGAAACCAAGCTCAAAGGTACTGACTCATTTCCTTTACACTTAAACACATCATTAAGGGCATACGCAGTAATATAAATTGTTTTAAGTTAATGCTACCCAAAAAACAACAGAACACGATGTTCTTATTCAACAGATCCTTTGCTACTCAACAGCCATTTTCTTTCAGCTACTGAAACTCAACAAATTGAAATTTAATTCTGTGTCTTATACACAAAAAATACATCAACCCAATCCAGAAATAACAGTGCTACAGTTAGATCAGAAATGTAACATTTGGCTTTCGGATGACTAACGCAATCGATAGGCTGATTTACATTCCTTAATGAAAGCATCTTATGTGGAAGGAACATTTAGGTGCCTGAGCTAAATCACCCTAAAGGCCTTTTGAAAATGGAAAGTTCCTTTCCCTCACACCAACCCTGGAAAAAAGCCAACTAACCACCACCACAATACAGATCCTGTAAAAAGAATTATTAAGCAGGGTGGCCAACTTCAGTAATATTAGTCTCTTCAAATTATTGTATAATTTAGATTTTTTTTTTTAATCTAAACTTCCTTTAAATTTCAGTTGTAATGCCAAAAACAATAGTAATGAAAGTTCTAATGCTATACTTTCAGGATTTTAAAATGGAAGAAAAAAATTCAAAGTTTTGCTTACTGATGGCTTGTGAATCAATTTATTCCTTGAAAAACAGGTATTTGGATTGTTTGCACATGTTTTACAAGTAAGACAAGCTTTAAAAAAAACTGCAAAAAAACAAAATCCTGGCCCTATATTGTTTCACTGATTTAAAAAAACTCAAAAAATAACTACTTTATGGAGAATACATTTATATTCTTTGTTGCTAAGGGGAAAGTTACCTATAGCAGACATATTTGCTAAAGGTCACATAAAATTTTCTAAAACTTTTTTCAAAACAAGGGGGAAAAGCTGATCCAATAAAGAAGAAAACAAAAATGCAAAAACAGAAACATACACCAAAGACACCAGAAAAATAAAAAGGATCTTGACTACTACTATACTCAAAATGGCTCCAGTAATTTGAATTAGTGGATGTGAAACCAGTTGAAAATGAAAAGTATTGTGGTTTAGATGTTTCAGAACTATATTTTCAATAGAGGCATGTAAAAGGGGATGTTATAAAGCAACTGAAAATCTAGGTCTTTCTTGTTTACTGATCTCTGTACCTGTTTTTAAACTTACACATACAGAACATGTGCAAATCTACTCAGCTGAGGCAACTTCCTCAAACTTTAAAGATTTTACATTTATGCTTATAAACTGTATCTAAATTGTAATTTAATGTTATCCAGTCAACTTAGAATAACAGCAGTAATTTTTTTTTAAGTTTTTTTAAAATGGCTTTTGGGGTTATAATTTTTCTCATTTATAAGAAATCTGTACTTTCAAATAATTAGAAAGCTAAAATTAATCTATTATTTTCTTCGATTGAGTTAGTAGAATACAAATTGCTTTTAAGAATTACCAAAAGTTTGAATTAGTCATCATTTACGTTATCTTAAGTATTGAGAATAAAGGACAACATAAACTAACATTTTAAATTATGTTGTAGCTTGCTATGCAATGAATTGTGTCCCCACCCCGCCAAAAACATCCCAGCAATAAATTCATCTGTTAAAGCCCCAACTCCTCAATGTAATGGTTTTGGAGATGAGATAACTAGGGTTAGATGAGTTCATGAGGGTGGGGCCCTCATGATGGCATTAGTGTCCTTTGAAAAGCTATCAGAAAGCTCTCTTTTCTGCCAGGATCTTGGGGCTTCCAGCCTCCAGAACTGTGACAAAATAAATTACTGCTGTTTGAGCTACCCAATCTACAGTATTTTGTTATGGGAGCTAGAAGAGGGGTTGTGTGTGTTAACAAACAAAATGAAATACGGTATTTCCAAATAAAATGCTGATCATGTTTTGATGAACAGATACAAAGACTCCTACAAGTTTACAATCCTTTCCTCTTTCTTCAACCAGGATATTCAAAACAGGTTAAGGTTACTTTATGCCAGGTACTGCAAGGTCATGATTACCACTAATTGATGCCCTATAGACACTGGAATGCATAATGCATACCATGTAAACCTTAGATTTCTGCACAATTAATTGGAGCAAATGGAAATGATTTAAATATTGAAATAATCTTCGACAAGGAGACTTAAATAAAGAAGTCCAATTTTTTCAGAATTTTACAAATTCAGTTCAATGGTAAGAATGGAAATTTAACTTTGGTTTGGAAAACATAGCTAAACTGCTTTGAAAATGCATATTCAATAAATTAATAAAATCAATAAACCATAATTTTCCTTGCAGTCTTCCTCTAATCAGTACATCTACCATTGCCCATAAAATATACTGAATAAAACATGTAACATTTTCTGTTAAAAGATTTGCTCAATCTTTAAGTTTGCTCCTTAAAGAATGCTCTATAATCAGCTTATTAAAAAAATCTTCAGCCATTTCAAATTACTCCTCATTTAAAAAAGAAAGAAAGAAAAAGAAAGGGGGAGGAGAGAGGTAGTCATTTTGAAAAAATTCTCCCAGTGGAAAAGGAAAAAACACACCCAGATCAGCATGTTGGCGTGAAACAAGGGCCCTTACTAACGCTTTAACTGAGAGTTTTAACTCATTAGATTATAAGGTTTTGGAGGAACGGGTGAAAAATGAGGCTTTCTTAAACTAAAAGAGTAAATGAGATTTAAAACATTACACCATTAATTCTGTGTGGAAAGCAGTCATTTAAAATTCATAAAACCACATACATATTTTTTAGAAGATCTGGAAGCAGAAATCCTAAATTTTTAACAGTGGATACCGCGGCGGGTAGGGGAACGTGAGGAGAGCCCAGAAAGCAAGGGCTTCAGTGGGGACGTAATTCAATTATATTCCATTTAAAACAATGTAGTTCTAAGAAAGGATTCACGATTATTTACGGCAAAAATAATATATTTTAAGAGAAAAAAAAACTCCATATTCCGCCAAAACTTAGAACTATTACACTGTGGGCCTTACTGTCACATTTAAGCATCCGCCCAGGTGGCGGGGGGACAGTTTGGGGCTCCACCGTACACATCTGAAATGGAAACAAAGCAACCCTGACTGGCAGGAGGGGGATTTGGGAGCCAGGAGCCCTGACTTGGGAGTTTGCACATCAGGCACTCTCGTCGGGGCAGCAGGGGGCTGGGGGTCCGTTCTCGTCCACTTGGGCCGCTGCCCCACACTCCTGCCGCTGTCACCGGAGCCAGACAGGCGACTCGGGGAGGCTCCGGACAGGTCGCCCCGTCTGCTCAGGATAAACCCACGCCCCCTCTCACGCAGCCCAGCCACAGGGCGAGACGTTCGCCCGTCTGACCGCCGCCAGGTGGACACCGGCCGGGCCGCGGCTCCGGGCGCTTCCCCGGCAATCCCTCGGCTCGGCCGGGCCGGTTCGGGGCTCCCGCGGTGGCCACAGAGCCCGAGGGCTGGCCCACTCGCTCGGCCGCCGGGACCCCGGCGAGGCGGCCTCTCCACAGCCAACGGCTACGGGCAACGACCGCCTGCCCGCGCGCACCCGCTCCGCTGGCCCGCGTGTTCGGTGCCCGGCTCCTGGCGCCCACCTGTTGGTCACACTCGGGGCACGATTTGGTGGCCATCTTCACTTTCTTAGCTCGAGTTGCAGACATGCTTCTCTCAGGCGGCGGCGGCGGCAGCAGCAGTGGCGGCGGCGGCGGCGGTTCGGACTCCGCCCCTCGTACCTCAGCAGCCCAGCCTCTGCCCGCGCGATCCCCGCTGGCCACACCGAGGCTCTGACGGGTGCGCGCGCGCGCGTCCGCGAACTCTAGCAGAGCCTGCGGACCGAGGAGGCGGGGCGCGGCGTGCGCCGGCTCCAAGGAACTGCGGAACACGCTTCCACCCACACGGCTCCGGTCCTCCAGCGGGTCCCGATTCTCACGAGAAGACACAGCCTGGATTTTCCGACGGGACAATGGACACGCCCTCTCTCGGCCGGATGAACGGCGTGGAGGCGTGGCTTATCCGGGATTCGACAGTAACGGGCGTCGGGCTCCACCAACGAAAGCACAGAAGGGGCGGGTCGTGGTGCTGAGCACGCCCCCTTCCCCGGAGGAAGAAGGTGAGAGTGAAAAAGCAGGTGGGAGGTTCGACTTTTCGCACAGATACCAACGTTTGATAGACTTCAGTAAATGTTAGCAAGTCTAATCATTGAGAAATTATAATAGACAACTAATGAGTCTGCTAGATGCCAGCCTTAGGCTCTGCACCGGGAGGTATGAGATTCGTTAAGTCAAATATGTATTGAGGGCCAAATCTGCCAGACAGGTTTGAATCCTGGGAGGTGCCTGTCCTCAAACACGTAGTCTAGAGGTATAGAGGGCCTAACATTCGAATACAGGGAAATGAGTTGTTGAGAGGAGTAATTCGGTTGACTACAATATCAAAATTTAAAATTCACCTCGCCTTTAATCTTGCAATCCCATCCCTAAGAATTTGAAAAGATAGTCTCCCTAAGAATTTGAAATATATTCTCCAGCGGTGCTCAAATGCATTTGTGTAAAGATGTTGCACTTCGCAGCACAGCTTGATCAGAAACAGCCCAGGTGTCCACCAACAAATTGCTTGAGAAAATTTAGGTATGCATACATCGGAATTATCATTGCAGTTTTTCAAAAGAATGATAGTTCTATATGAAGTGATATAATGATCTCTAAAATAGTATTAATTGGAAAAGCAAAGTACACTACACCTTGTTTAAGATTGTGTCAAATAATATGAAAATATATTTATGGTTACATTAACATAAGAGACTAGAAAAGGAAGTGGAGGGCAGGAAGAGGAGGGAGACATATTCCATATAGTATTGGATTAATGTGAATTGCCTACTAGGTTAACTTAATATGACATAGGCCAACCCCTCACCACCCCCTGACTCCTCCACCCCGGCAAAAGAGAAAAGGATCTGTACACTGCTACTGAGAAGGTCAGCTGACACATTATCAAAGGAGTTGTTCCTAGAAGGCTTTCTTGTAGAGTTATCTCCAATATTGAATCCCTAAGGAAATCAGGGGTAGCTTGATGTTGTGAGTACACCAAGTGCAAGACAAAGAGTTAAGACTGGCAATGTGGGTCATATCCAGCTGTGCAGACAGGGTCTTTGCTACCATAGGAAGGAGTGTGGGCTTCTTCCTGAGTGTAGTGGGGCAGTAGAGGTTTTAGTTTGGGGAGTTAACAGGATTATATTTGAAATTGATAATGATTGGACCAGGAAACACCTCAGGTATTAAGACCTGAGGCGTGGGGAGAGGATGGACAATAGAGGAGAGGAATTTTAAAAATATGAAGGCCATAGTGTTAGTAAGGCTTAAGGAGCTATTTTGTTGGTGGAGAGCAGAGGCCATGGATATTTCCAGGATGACTCTCAAACTTCTAATGCAAAGAGAAAGAGGAATAGAAGTAACAGAGGAAGATGATACTTCAGTTTTCCTTGGAGAATGGTGCAGGGCATGAATTGGGAACCCAGGTCCTGTAATCCTGGCCTTGAGGAGTTTCCTGAAAATTTCATGACCGTTATATCTACTACTGTGGGCAGGAATCCCTTAGAAGAAATGGAATAGTCATCATGGAATATATAGGAATATGGAATATAGAGGAATGTATATGGAATATATAGGAAAAATAGCAGCTAGTAATAAGTCTAGGTAGGAAATTAAAATAGGGTACTGTTTTAGAGGATGACTGGAAGATGACTTTTGCTTGAGTGGTCAGGGAATGCATATCTTCAGGAAGTAATATTTTAGCTAATGTCTGAATAGATGAAGGGGCTAAACATGAAAATGTTTAGAAGAACATTTCTTAGAAGAAATGGAGTAGCCATCATAGTCAACAAAAGAGTCTGAAATGCAGTACTTGGATGCAATCTCAAAAACAACAGAATGATCTCTGTTCATTTCCAAGGCAAACCATTCAGAACCACGGTAATCCAAGCCTATGCCCCAACCAGTAACACTGAAGAAGCTGAAGTTGAACAGTTCTATGAAGACCCACAAGACCTTTTAGAACTAACACCCCCAAAAATTGTCCTTTTCATTATAGGGGACTGGAATGCAAAAGTAGGAAGTCAAGAAACACCTGGAGTAAGTAACAGGCAGATTTGGTCTTGGAGTACAGAATGAAGCAGGGCAAAGGCTAAAAGAGTTTTGCCAAGAGAACACACTGGTCATAGCAAACACCCTCTTCCAACAGCACAAGAGAAGACTCTACACATGGACGTCACCAGATGGTCAACACCAAAATCAGATTGTTTATATTCTTTGCAGCCAAAGATGGAGAAGCTCTGTACAGATAGTAAAAACAAGACCAGGAGCTGACTGTGGTTCAGATCATGAACTCTTTATTGCCAAATTCAGACTTAAATTGAAGAAAGTATGGAAAACCACTAAACCATTCAG